GTTAATTCTAGAGTTGAAGTCTTTATCTTGGGGTCTTGAGACCACATAAACATGGTCTGGGTCTGGGTCTCAAAACTTGAAGTTTTGGTCTGGATATGGATCTTGGTTTATGGTTTCAGAAAAGACCACATTTCTATTTCCAACATACTGAAGATGATAATTATGTCCACCACAGGTCGGTGCGGCATCTTCACCCTTGGAAAGGATTTACAAGAATTCCATGACTGTAAACCCCAACAAAGCCACTGTACAAAGTAGGGTTTGAAAAGAAAGATGCAGTAAATCGTTTCTGTTTCAGATGATAAACTGGATACGGGGTCTAGCCTTGGTCTGGAAGGGTCTAGTGCATAATGCAACCACAAATATGTTACCGTTCAGATGTTTGGGGTCAGTCTCTTATGAATCTCTTATGCTCATCTCTTAGGCTGCATTTATTTGATTAAAAACTAATCTTGTAAAATTATTTTACAACTTAAATATCTTTTAATATATTTTAAAATGTAACTGTGATGGCAAAGCTGAATTACTCCTGTCTTCAGTGTCACATGATCCTTCAGAAATCATTCTCTGATTCGGTGTTGAAGTAACATTTCTTATTATTATCAGAGCCGGACAGTAACGGAGTACATTTACTTGAGTACAGTACTTAAGTACAATTTTGAGGGATCTGTACTTTACTCGAGTATCATTTTTGGGGAGTACTCATGACTTTACTCAAGTACATTTGAGAGGCAAATATTGTACTCTTTACTCCAATACATTTCTATCCATAACCGTGAGTACCCGAGTAAAAAAAGAAAAAAAAGTTAAAAAAAAAAGCAAAATCTCGGAAACCCTCAATTTGTTGTTTCCCTCTCAAACGTGATTGGATTGTGCAGGCGCCACTGATTGGGACAGCCTATCAGCAATCACTTTCAGCTTTCCGCCAAAGTCAACTCCATGGTCAGATTTTATATTACACATTAATGTAAGCCAAGCATTTGGTTTGATGTTCTTGAGTATGTGGTGTGTTTAACACAGTCAGGTTCAAATGTGGCAGTGGCATAGCCACGAGGGATTTCTGATTTCTTAAAAAAAAAAACTTTAGGAGGCAAAATATATTTTTACTGATTATGTGAATTACACTGCGCAAACCAAAGTAGGCTACTACCCAGCGAATGAAGGAGGGTTGGCGCTCAGTCTCCACAGTACATAAAATATTCATTTTGTTTTATTTTATTTTTCCGGTTTGCATTTATGAGGAAAAAACAATGTTATGGACGTGTTCTCCGTTACTGTACGTGAGCGCTCTGAAAGCGGCATAAAAAATGCTTTAAAACTTTCACAGAGACCTCAAACAGAAAACACAAAACCTTTCTTTAACCTGAATTTCGTTTTGCATTAATTGTATCTTAATTTTAATCAATGTTTCATCAACCAATTGCCTGGGTTTAATAAATAAGAAGTAAATAGCAGACGATAGATAAGAAACGGAGGCGCCGGCCTGTGAACTGGATCTCGTCTCATAAATGAACCGAAACTCAGTGTATAAGGTAGCCTACTTGCCTCTCACAGACATGTCTACTTTTAAACAGAAAAAATCAAAACAAAAGAAAACAGACTACAGACTGCTTATGTAATCCGTATGAAATGTGCGTTTCTCTCTGGCGCGTTCACTGCTGAAGATCGCGAGTCAGCATCGTCAACTTAATCTAGCCGACACTGACAAAGAAAACACTTGTTTATTAACAAGTGTTTATTAATAAACAATTAAAATATCTCCTTGCTATATTTTACATATTCATAATCATTCCTTTTGCCGGTTCTATGTGACAGCTTTTAGGTGCTTTATTGGCAGCGCCACCCTTACATGTGGTGTGTGTGTTGTCCCCGCATTTAAAGATGGGACCCCCAAAAAATTAAATTATATTAAACAAAGCAACATGGTAAAAAGATGAAAATGACTTGATTTTACTTTCAATTCCTTTTACATTCTCCAAGGTATTAACATTAACATTTTTCATAACTCCATGTAGGACGTTTCTGCGCATAAATGTAAGCACTGTGGCAGTAGATTAGTAATGCAATATTTAGAAAATCTACTCTTGTACTCTTGATACTCAAGTACTTTTAAAAACAAGTACTTTAGTACTTTTACTTAAGTAGACATCTGAATGTAGTACTTTTACTTGTACTTGAGTAAAATTTAGCAAGGGGTATCTGTACTTTTACTCAAGTAACAAAGCTCTGTACTCTGTCCGCCTCTGATTATTATCAATGTTGACAACAGTTGTGCTGCTTAATATTTTTGTGGTAAATCATAAAATACTGCCACTCATCAGTTTAACACATCCTTTCTAAGAAAAAAAAATCTTACAGACCTCAAACTTTTGAATGGTAGTGCATATGCGTGTTTAAGTATTTTTGCACATGTGTGATGTGGGTAAATAATTGTATTCTAAAGCGTACAGTATTTGACATCATTATTGGCCCGCGTTGGTTTAGAACATTTGCTGTTGATCACTTAGCGCCCTGTCAAAAGACTTTGCTTCTGTGCCATTATGATGTCAGAGCTAGATTACTGCTGACTGATGACATCACACTGTTATGAACAGCTTTCCAGAAATACTCTGTTGCCTTGGCAACAGGCTCGCTCAGAAAGATCTGTTTCAGCTGGAGAACCGTTTTGAATTTTCATTCATTGGCGTTAACATATGTTAGCTTTGCATTTAAGTTTAAGTGTGCCAAATTATGGTTTTAATTCCATAACCTTAGTAAATTGTAGTTCTGCACAGTTTGATGTACTCAAATGTGATGGGTGGTGGTGATGGCGCAGTGGATAAGACACATGCCTTTGGTGTGAGAGACCCGGGTTCGAATCCACTGTGAGACACCAATGTGTCCCTGAGCAAGACACTTAACCCCTAGTTGCTCCAGAGGTGTGCGACCTCTGACATATATAGCAATTGTAAGTCGCTTTGGATAAAAGCGTCAGCTAAATGAATAAATGTAAATGTAAATGTAAATGTAAATGTCCTTTTCATAAAGGTTGTATGAGTCTCTCGTGGCATAACACTTTTTCTTTGACCGTCTTTTTTGCTGCTTTGTTTTTAAAGCTGCTCAGAATCATCTTTGAGTTATTGTGGAAATGTAAAAAACAACAACTTAAAAAACATTACAAACCATATTTCAAAAACAAATAATAATCCTGACACCAGGGCCGTGCACAGGGGGGTGGCCCGGTGGCTAGAGCCACTGCCCTTTTGCCCTCATCAGCTGAGGTGCCCCTCTCGCCCCCATCCCTAACCCTCCAGAGGATTTCCATAAAAACGTTATGTTATCGCTCCAGAATTTTCGCACGTTAAAAAATAAATACGACCTCACGTTATGTCAATCACACTTGCACACTGCCTCCGAAACTTTCGTCCGTCATAAAAAATTCGAATCGGGTAAAAATCTAATCGAACCGTAGCCAGCAGTTTGAATGGAGTTTGAATGGTGTTTTGACAATTCAGAGCCAACGAATCACGAATACGAAAAAACGCAGTGTGCAATGGCCTTTATTCTGTATTTTTTTCTGTGCGTGCACACACACACACACACACACAAACACACACAACCCGACGCGTGCAGCCCTGCACATAGACAGAGCAGCGCGCAAGGACTGAACTGAGCTCTCTTTCGCGTCTGAATGGACAAATACACACAACATTATGTCTAAATGTCCGTTTTGGAGAGTATTCACTTAAACGCAGTCAGTTATGTCTTTACAGAACGTACAGTTGTGAGAATATCGGATGTGCATCAGTGCAATTGGATCTGCACACTCGGTCTTAAAGTGACAGTGCGTAATAAACCTAATGCCGTCTGTGCACTTAATCAAACAACAAAATAAAAAGAGAAAAGCATTCACTGCTCTTTAATAGCTTTAATAAGGATTAATTATATTTAATTCATACAAATAAATATGTCTGCTTGAAAGAATAAAGAATGATGTATGTAAAACTTAAATTTTAAGATATTATTTTATGTCACAGTGCGAAATATGTGTCTGTATTGCATGTTCAAACTTTAAAAATTATTAATATTATCAGGTTAATAGATGTTTTCTACGGGAATATATAATGGGTTTGGACATTTTAGAGAAATTCTAAATTAATGCATTACAATTTAACACTAAACCCATTAAATTTTAGTCGAATAAATCTACTGTAGATTTAGTAGACTAAAACCTTATTGTATTTCGTCGACTAAAACTAAAACAATTCAGATGACTAAAATATGACTAAAACTAAATGGCATTTTAGTCAAAAGACTAAGACTAAATCAAAATTTGCTGTCAAAATTAACACTGATCTAAATGAATAGTACCTTAGTATATTAGCTAGGTTACAATGGGGCTAAAGGCACACCCTAACATTTGCTTTTCACATATGATTGCAGAAAAATATTTGTTTGAAAATTGATGGAGCAACATATTTTGTGTGAAAATAAATCATAAAGGTGGTTTGTTAGTTTAAAAATCGTATTAATGTATGAGGTGGCAAGGAGGTACACACGGGGTAAAACCAGCACAAAAGACACATAGTATTGATACAAATACTTTAGCTAAATTAATATAATTTCATGTTAGCTGCTAAGAGCATGTCAGACACATCCTCATGTTTGACTGTGCATACAAACACAATAATGTTCACCCTCAATGATATTTATGATGTGTGAGGCCTAATTGATCCCATTTGATACACAGGAAGTTAGTGTACGAAATTTATAAACGCATCGCCTGAAACTAACACCAGAGAGAGTGTGTTTGCGTATACGATTGAAGCCAAAACATTGCATCCCATCAGATCAGTAAAATCCAAATGTCTGTGCATTAGTGTTTATTTGCAAAGCATAGATGCATCACCTTTCTCTAAACACTGTCCAGGTGGTGAAAACAGCATCATTTATTCATGAGATCAATCAGTATTTTGCAGTATATTAGGTGAAAAATAATATCTTCTGGATGTTTTTTGTAGGCTGGTGGTTTGTCAGCACTGTTGAAGAACAGGGCTGGGTTCCTGCCACGTACCTGGACTCTCAGAGCGGCACCAGAGATGATCTGGACCTGGGAACATCTAGATCTGGAGAAGGTAGGACACACCAATTACACTCTCTCTCCTACTTTCCCACGCACAAACACTCTTATACCCCAAGAAATCTTCACCAAAACCAGTACAAGATGACCTGTTTTGCATTTATTGACCAATCACCACCCAGAACCGTACATATGGATTATACCAAAGTCTAAATTTTCTTTGAGAAGCTTCTGCTTGTTTGAGAAAAAGAGTGAAGACTTAAGGACTGTGAGAGACCATCGATTGGAGAAGGAGAAATAAAGGAAAGAAGGGCGTCTCCTTTATCATTACAGTGCTGCTATCATTTCTTTGAATCTATACATAATACATTGCTTCTCTAAAAGGTTGCACTAGTACATTGGTTGTACTTTATAGTGTGTTGTAACTACACACCATATTGAATCTGGGTGTTTCCTCAACTATGGGCACTTTTGGCCCTGTGGACTTTTTCAAACATTTTGACAGAATTTTATTAATTTATTTCATGAAGATTCCCACCACTGTGTCATTTCCACCACATCCCAAGTTACGTATTGTGTTTATTAGCATTGTGTGGTTGAAACATTTCAGAATAAAATGGCATTTGAAAAGTGACAAATATCTTAATCTTCATAATAGTAAACAGACAAAGTAGAAATCTGTAGGTTTTAAAGTCACAATGAAACAGAAGTACCGACAGATCTTTTATTCTGTGTAACAGACTATTGAAAAAGAAAAAGACTGGGTTCTTTCCATCAGATGTTGATTGGATGTCCGGCATGCATCAACAGAGAGAAGTTTGTCGTCTTCTGTCTCAGACGATCGACATTTTGATTAAACAAACAAACAAACAAATACATTGATGAATCATTCGGTAACACTTTACTTGAAGGGGTGTGCATAAGACTGACATGACACCTTCATAACCATGACATGACATATGTCATGAATATGAAGTAGGGTTTATGCATGTTTATGACAACCGTCATTAAGTGTCTTTCGCTCAATAATGACATTTTGAATGCAAATATGAAATTGTTTAAGATGTCTTTGTTATGACATCTTGACATAAACCATAACATCATAACCTGTCAGTGTCTTTGTCGTGACAACTTGACATTAAATTAAGTTAAACTGTCATGTGGTTGGTTTTGACATTGGCTGTCATCAGTCCATTATAACTGTGTCATGAATATTTTTCGTGACCTCAACTACAGTGGTAGAAATTGAATTTGTCATTAAAAAGTTATAATGGCTTCATGACAGCCAATGTCAAAACCAACCACCTGACAGTTTAATGTAATGTTAACCAATAAAGCTAAGTGGTTTCTTAAGTTTGATAATTAATCTGCTGTGTCATGTTTATGACAGGTTGTGTTGTCTTAGTAATGTTAAGTTGTCATGACAAAGACACTGACAGGTTATGATGTATTGGTTTATGTCAAGGTGTCATAACAAAGACATCTCAAACAATGTCATATTTGCATTAAAAATGTCATAACTGAGCGAATGACACTTAATGACAGTTGTCATAAACATGCATACAACTTCCTTCATATTCATAACATGTGTCATGTCATGATTATGAAGGTGTTATGTTAGTCTTATGCACACCCCTTCAAGTAAAGTGTTACCAATCATTCACAATAAGATGTACTGTATTTGCAAAATAATTTTCATTTCATGTCCTGGAACATAAATTGACCAAAGTTGAAGAAACACCCATCTGTTTTCTCACTGCAATGAAACAAACATTGAGAAGTCTCATTATAAATTTGTCCCTTTCTAATCCTTCTTTTCCGTCTTCCCAAACCCCAGTCATCTGCTGCCATCAGCATTTCCTGGGTTCAGAACCACATTTTTAGCTGCATCTTGAAATGTATGCCACTGAAGAGCTCAATGTGTAAGATTAGGAGTGGTCAGGCTGGAGATAAAGCATCCGCTACTATCTTTGTCTTGAATAGATCGAAACATCCCAACACAATTTATTGATCCCTGAGGGGTAATTTACCTTCCATATGGCCACAACAGCTTCATTTATGGATGTTGCTGCAGTTTTTTCAGACTGAACTTTATTTGAGATAGACCATCTACTGTTTCTTTACTTCCACACATTTTTTCCTTTTGAATGTATGGAGATAATGAGTGGTTAATATATATATATACTGTATAATATAATACATGAATTTCAATAACAAAATCCAATAACACATGTATTAATCCAAATACTCCATTGCTTGCCATCATCGCTCAAGCCAAAAACCCTCCTAACCTATCACGAAACTCTTTTCTTTCATGTAATATGTCTTCATTACACTAATACCAGTGTTCCTCCTGAGTTGTTTATGTTGAGTTTGTCATGTCTCTGTTCTCTTTCTGCTGTCCTCATTCACCCGTGTCAGTTACTAAGAGACGTAAGGCTCATCTGAAGAGGCTTGACCGGAGATGGACACTAGGGGGAATAGTCAACCGCCAACAAAGCCGAGGTGAACACACATGCAATCACGCATGCCTGCATAGACTGATCACATGCAAGCAGTCACGTGTGTGTGTGACCAATCTGCATGGTCCGTTTGTGTGTTTGTGCAGGTTTTTACAATGATTAGCTTGGATACGCACACAAACACGCTCTTTAGAAACCTAAACTCTCTTTCTGGTTAAATCTTCTGGATCTGGCTCCCAAAGCATGCTGGGTGGTCGGTTTCATCTGCGCTCCATCATAAAATCTTTATTATACTTTGCTTGCTTTAGGTCTCTATTTGTGTATATGTGGATGAACTCAAAATGAGATAATTAAGACTGTTTGCAGATTCTCTGGATAAAGATTGGTTTAGAAGTACATATTAATTCTGAAATATTGTAGTCTGATATCTATATGCATGAAATTTCATGTATGGCATTAGAGTTCGAAGTTCCAGATTCTTGATCATATAAGAGCTCTGACCGGTTTATGGTAGTAAATATTGATATGGTTCTGGTCTAGCTGCTTCATTTTCTACTTTTCTATTAAAGCCTACTAACCAAGTATCTCTAGTTGCAGGTTAACAGTTTAAAGCCGGGGTGTCCAATCCTACACTTGGAGGACCAACGTCCTGCAGAGTTTGGCTTCAGCCAGCTCCAAAATACTTGCCTGGAAGTTTCTGGCGAGTCTAAAGACCTTAGCTGTGTTCGAAATCGTCCCCTATACCCTCATTCACTTTTCCCTACATTACTTCACCAATATAGTCCACTTGAAGGAGTGAATGAAAACGAGTGAGTTAATTCCGATACTGAGTGTTTTGGAAAGGCTGCCGTTTTTGTATAGTTTGTGCTTGGTGTTTAATAATCATTTGAAACGTAGCAACCTGGCATCTCCAGTAGTAATGAAAAGATTTATATCAAACTTTTTAATGGAAACTAGCATGTATAAACCTTAATTAAACAATTTAATAATCAATTAAAAAGAATATATGAGGAGCTCTTTTCCAAAACGCGGTAAACGTCATTTAAAAAAAAAATTAGTTTGTCAGGTCATTTTGCTGTGTTCTGAACGTATGCACTGCTCCATCAATGTTTCATGCCAAATCGCTATATTTCCTTGTTTAAAATGTACTGCAAGATGCAGTTATTTTCCAAACCGCGATAAGCGCCAAACCTATTTTTAGCCTAAACGCGATAAATCCTCTCTCGACAAATCAGAATTCAGTGAGCATTCTACGCAATCCAACATCGGCGCGCTGAACAGAGGTTTGTTTATGTTGATTCATTCCTCAAAATGAGTGCTTTAAACGGTGATAACACTTTTGATGGCCTTGATGAGCCAGTGAGACCTACACCTGGGGTAGATGCTGCTGCCAAAGGTTTCTGTTTATAATTTCTGCCAAAAATGGCATTAGACAATCAAGGAGCAAAAGTCGAATATCGTTCGAAAATCGAAATTTTTATTTTATTTTTATTAATCAACTGTTTTCTGTGTATCAGTGTCTGCAAAGATGAAATTGACGATCAGCATCTCTGTAGTGAATGCGCCTAGAGAGAAATGCATGTAATGGATTACTTAATCAGAGAGTATGCTATTTATTTTCGTTTTTTATTGTTTCGTTTAAAGACATTTCAAGCTTTCTATGTAGATATATTTCTCATGACTCTGTGAGGCATACGCTGAATTTCGGTTAATTTATGATGAGATGCGCTCCTGTTCACGTGCAATGCAAGTGACCACGCCAGCGCCTCCATGTCATGATTATATTGTCTATTTGCTTCTTATTTATTAAATCCAGGCAATTGGTTAAAGAAAAAATTATTAAAATTAAGATACAATTTATACAAAACGAAATTCACTTTAAAGAAAGGCTTTCTACAAAAAAAAAGCTTAATTAAGTGGCCAAAATCATCCATTTTTGGATTTTTCTTTTGTGGATTTATAGCGTTTTGAAAGAAAAAAAAATTACTTTGAATTTATCATCAACAATATTGTTGTTTGATTTAATAATCATTGTTCAACATGTTCAGACTGAGGGGAAAAAACATTTTAACAGGCTAAATTGAATATTCACAAAATGTGTGGGTCTAGGTAAAAAATCCTGAAAACTATTGAAATGGATTTATATTGCGTTTTGGAAAAGAGCTCCTCATATATTCCTGTATTATATTACTCTGTACCTACATTGGACCCGAAGTTTGGAAAATGAATGGATGGATGATTCATCTGAATGAATGATTGAATGAGGCATTTATATAGCGATGATTAATCTGAGGACGCCATTTTCTGGTGAGACGCGGGAATTCATTCGGCACAACGATCACAGTGCATTATGGGTATTCTCTAGCCGTTGAGTTTACATGAGTTGTACACTCGTTAATGCAGTGCATTGTGGGATTGAATGAGTGAACTCGATAACGTCCACTATGGTTTCGGATACCACTAAAAATGGCTGTCCCTTTAAATAGTGGCCTATTTAATACAGGGGGACGTTTTCGGACACAGCCCTTGATTAACTGGTTGAAGTGTTTTTAAGTAGGTTTGGAGCTAAACTCTGCAGGACAGTGGCCCTCCAGGAGCAGCTTTGGGAAACCCTGGTTTAAAGGGATAGTTCACCCAAAAAATAAAAAATTGGTAATGGTGTCTACTCACCCTTATGTCGTTCCAAACCTGTACGACTTTTTTTGTTTGTTCGTCCATACAATGAAAGTCAATGGGGAGCAATGTTGTTTTGAACCCCCATTTAATTACTACCATTGTATGGACAAAAACATACTTCAACATCTAACATCAAACACTTTTTTGGTTTTGTACAGAAGAAAAAAAAACGTCATTCTGGTTGAAAATTAAAATGATAATTCTGCTGGTCTAAATTCAGCAGACAGATCTGGCATCCTGTAGTTCACACATGAGGTTTGACCTTTCAAAATCCCAGGGTTTGATTCTAAACACCCAGACCTCAAATAATTACTAATGTCTAGACCTTTGGTGGAATTGTATGTTTGTATGGTAATGAGTCTCCTTGGAGATCTGCCGTTTCATGTTGAGTCATAAGGAATAGGCCTCCACGGTTGTAATTCCCGCAGTTTTCCATTTGTGTACTCTTGGAGTGTAATGACTAACATGTCATGAACACCATGCACATGGCTGTAAGTAGACTCTAGACTAGAGCATGCTGGATCTGGAATGGGTGGGAGCTGATAAGAGCTTTACCAGCTGCATTGGCAAGTGGATGAATATCCCCCTGACTGGGACTGTGTGAATGTCTACTGAGACTCCTAATGCCCGATACACACTGTAACGGCGTATTGATCAAGGCGACATGGCGGTAAAACTTAAAACAACTTACCTCAAGCTCCATTTGCAACATTGGCCTGCCAAGCTGGCCTCTTTTCCCTTGTCCATATTCTCCTCTTTTTTTCAGCACACATAAAAACCACAATTGCCAAAGTGCGATTCATCTCGCTCTATTTGTTTACCACTATCGCATGTCATCGCCGTACAGTCTACTTACATGTCGTACCCAAGTTTATTAGATCCATATCATACAGTGAGATTTGTAATTATCTTATAGGATTGCCGAAATCGGACAGTCTGTAGCAGGCATTAGATATGAAATACCAGGTCTTATGTTTATGAGATTATGTTAATTAGTCTCTTCAAATCGTCAAGTCCTCCAACAACCACCACTAACAACTGTGGTAACTATTTATATGAGTATTATACATTTTTCTCTTTTCTTCTGAAAGTGGCTCATGCAGATTGGGATACAAATTCTGGTTTTAGATTGGATGTGACACTGTTACAGTAACTGCCTTTCCCTCATTATTTCTCCCTTACTTTTGCTCTGCATCAATGGAGAAGTCTTTGGAAACTCACAGTGGAAAGTGTGGAAGTAGGTCATTGGCTCGCTGTGTGTGACTGCTTTTAATCCTGTCATTTTTTTTACTGTATACATACTAATGAGTCAGAGAGCACCACGGTTGATCCAGAGACAAAGAACAGCCAGGAGTTTCAGAGGGAACGTTTCTCCATAAACACAAGTTGCAACCTTCAAAACAGGTCAGAGGTTGTGATGGCTTCAGAGTGGTTGCTTTAATGATCTTTTGTAACATAATGGTTTCAAAATCCGTACTGAAATACAGTACCAGGTGCCCTAGTTCTTAAAACTTGAAAACAAATTGATTTACGATGAAAATGTTCATTTATCATCATTTATATTGATGATATTGATGATCATTTATTCACCCTCATGCTCCAAACCAGTATTTTTTATTTATTTATTTTTATTTTAAGTACTATTCTTCCATATACCACAAAAGGAGATGTTACGCATAAAGTGAAGCTCCAAAAAAAAGAACAAAAACAACACCATAAAAGCACCATAAGTGTCTTGATGTTGAATATTGTATAAGTAAATAATGACTTAAATTTAAAGGGATAGTTCACCCAAAAATGAAAATTCTGTCATTTACTCGCCCTCAAGTTGTTTCAAACCTGTATGAGTGTCTTTCTTCTGCTGAACACAAAAGAAGATATTTAGAAGAATGTTGGTAATCAAACAGTTTATGGACCCCATTGACTTCCATAGTATTTTTTTTTCTTCCATACTATGGAAGTCAGTGGGGCCCATCAACTGTTTCATTACCCATATTCTTTAAAATATCTTTTCAATTCAGCTGAATAAAGGAATTCATACAGGTTTGGAACAACTTGAGGTTAAGTAATGACACCATTTTCATTTTTGGGTAAACTATCCCTACTAGCTTGATCAGACATGCACTTTCAATCAACATTCCTCTAAATGTATCCTTTTCTGTTCTATAAAACATAATTGTAATGACATAAGGATGAGTAAATGAACTATTTTCATTTTTAGATGAAGTATTCGGGAGCAGCTCAGATTCCCGCCGGACCGAGCTCGGCTTTTGGTTAGCTTATATGAAATGTTAAAGCAAGCAAGTTTCAGGAAGGTCCATATGACAGCTAGAATGATCTGTGTACCCACAATCTCTCTCGCATTTCGTATCGCAGTGTTTTTTAGCTCACGGAGGCTGAAGGAGAAAATGCCTGTGTTGGCACACAACTCCACAAGTGCATGCAAAACTCAAGTAATGTGTTCTGGACCGACCTGACTTTTTCCACCATCCACAACAGTCCATGAAAATCCTGCTGACTGTTGGAAAATGTGTTTTTGAGGCGTTTCTTTTTGTGTGTTTTTAGCTCTTTCATTTTTTTACCCTCACATCTCTCGGTTGTCATCTGTCCACACTATGACTTTCTTCTGTGGAACTCAAAAGGAGATGTTTAGCAGAATGCCTGCAATCAGTTCTTCTGCATTTTGGTGAAAAAAGATTAGTGTTTGTTTTAGGTCAGAAGTTCAGAATGAGATCAGCACAGGGTAGTTTCTTCTGTCATATGTTCACTTATCTGATTTCCCAGCTTGTCTGCTCCCGCGAAAGAATTAAGTGTTGATAGAGACGTTACGAAAGAGAGTGAGTAACTGCCCTGACCTCATGTCATCTGTTGTTGGCAGACAGTGTTATTCACTGCTTAGAAAAACTACATTTAGGATATTCATCTCTCTTTTTTTGTTGGTTTTTCTTTTTCAACACTTCTCCCACTATCAATATGTCTTTTTATCAGCTCTATTTCTGTTTCACTAAATCGAAATTTATAGCGCTGCTCTGAGCAGACAGCTCTTTCGCAAAGGGAAAGACATCATAGTTTTGATATGTAGGTGTTAAACACAGTTGTGTCAAATGTAAACGATACTGACTAATGTTTTGTGTGTGTTTTTAGGGAAGATAAATGCTTTATAAGATCTCAGGAGTCTTCAATGCAAAATGGTGGGAATAAAAACTGGTTGTGATCAGTTATTTGTCTTACTGGGTGAATCTTACAAAACCTGTCATGAACATATCCAGGACATATTTTAGCACAAGATAAAAAGAAAAAAAATTGCTTAAAGAAAATGATGTCTAGGTTTGGGACCATTCCTTTTTCTTTTCTTTTTTTTGCAATGTGAGATTATTTTCACGAGAATTAAGCACATATTCTTCCCCAATTCTTATTATCATCATACAAAACAGTCTCATTCTCTTTACTGTAATGGGAAAATAATATAAATGTGCTGATGCATTATGGTGATTCTATATTCCTAATGCATTTTTTTCTTTCTTTTGACTTGTCAGGACCTGGACATGTTTGTATAAGACTGACCCTACTAGGTATTTCATACTAGAACCGGAGTGGAGAGGCTTATGATAATTATTGTGTCTTGGGCTTGTTTTGCTCTGGTTACAACAGGCCCACTGTCTCCTGGAGGTTTTGTTAATGTTATTACTATTGATGGATTGTGAGATGATTGTGTTATTGTGCCTGTGGTGAAGGGTAAGTTTTGGACCGGTCTTACTGCAAACTTTGTGGTTTTACTTCTGCCTCTGTTTTCCCAAGGAAAGTCCTTAAATTTTGTAAGTTTATAAGTTAGCAGTTAAATCCATTAGTCAACCTCCTTTCACACCGCAGAAAAGGCAAAGACCCAAGTACAGGGAAAAAAAAAATAACAAAGAAGTCCTTTCTCATTCTTTTCCCCTTATCTGTCTTTTTTTTAGAGGAGAAATATGTCACTGTCCAGGCGTATGGCAGTCAGGGAAAGGATGAGATCGGGTTCGAGAAAGGAGTAACCGTGGAGGTCATCCAGAAGAACCTGGAGGGATGGTGGTACATCAGGTAATCAATCTGGACCTCACACTTTAAGGTGGTATATTTTGGAAATATTTGCTCTTTTTATTATTTTTGCTGATGATATTTCATTTCTTCATTGCAATATGTCTGGTGATATTGCATTTTGGGTCTTCAGAAACATCTGCACTAGACTTTACTATGTTATCACTGTATTAATTGGTACTGTGTATATAGCAAATCTCAACTGCTTGATTATATATATTAAAAGTAGGATATAAAGTGCATCCTATTTTCACTGCATACAGTACACTCATATACAGAGAAATATATACTATATAGCAAATCTCAACTGCCTGATTTTTAATTTGGTCTCAAAATGTAAATAGCTCTATAAATAAAGTTAGATATGTAAGTATATCCAACTTGATCATAGAGCAGTATATACTATTGGCCTATTGCATATCTCAATTGCTAGATTGCTTGTTTTTAATGAAATGGAAACTAAATTACCGCCCAGCTCTAATCTGCTAAAGGCATGAAGATATTAAGATGTTAGATCATGATTTTCTGTAAAATCTGCTTTGAAACCATATGTAGAGTGATTGGGGCTGTACATGTACATAATGATGCTATATAATTAGTGTGTGTGTATATATATATTATATATGAAGTGGCTTATACAGTAGATGCTTCTGCATATTAAGGATACATAGAAAAAAATGACAGTTTTACACATTTTTTGCAATCTCTGGATGGTCAGTACGACTTCATCTTACTTAAAACGTTATGCTGACCTCTAGTGGTCAGTAGGAGAATGGTTAATGCATTTTATTTTGAAAGATGTGTAATACTGCTACTAATGTGTTGCAGGTATCAGGGTAAGGAGGGCTGGGCCCCAGCCTCATACCTGAAGAAACTGAAAGATGACCTTTCCCCAAGGAAGAAGACTCTGACTGGCCCTGTGGAGATCATAGGAAACATAATGGAGATCAGCAACCTCCTCAACAAGAAGGCTGTAAGCGAGAAGGACATTCAAACTGATGGCGAGGCCACCAGCCCTGAGCGCCACATTTCCAAAAGTGAAATCAGTTTACCTATCCAATATGCCCCAGAGGCTGGAGTGGCACCCACAGTGGTCACTGGTTTGGGAATGAACTCTGGATCTAGCGCCGCCCTACAGGAGAACAAGAGCAGGGCAGAGCCGGGGTCACCTGCCATAGCCCGGGTGGCACCACACAGAGTTGAGATAGGTGAGTAAACAGTTGGTTTATGACATGTATAACTAAATGTAAACACCATTCACATGTTCAGAATATAAAAGTTAGATATTAAAGACTTACAGTATTTATTTAGGTTCTCCAAAACAAGTACAATTATAATTAAATTATTTTTCTTAAAAAATGTGTATATAGCTATACGTTTTATATTTAATATATGATCATATTTTCTATATAATTGTATAATTATATCTCCATATTTGATATAATAAATATGTTTATGTTCCTGTTATTTTTGCACATAGGATTTGATGCCATAGGTAACATTTCTTTGTGGTAAACAGATGTTTCCTAACATTTTGTCCGGGTGTTGTGTACCTTGATAGTGACACATTCCCTGTCTCTGTTGCTCAACATTCAGCCTGTCAACTGCTGTTTGTTTGATTTTTGTCTGTTCTTGTGCTTACTTATTTTTCTAATGCTAAGTGCACACTATACAACTGAAATTTTTTCCCATAGTGCTGTACTGCTCACATTACATGACATTCATTCTTGTTAAATCTGTTTTGTTGTGGATGCTGAGAGCGACACACTATTATTTCACTGTAACAGGTCCTTAACAGACAGCATATGATCCCCAAAATCCTTCGCCTTGGTTAAAACTTGCAAAGTGACTGATTCTATTCAAATAACAGCAGCTTAAGTTGTATGCATGGTACTTTTTGCTAATAAATCTAAAAACAAAAAAGATGAAAGGTGACATTTAAAGAGACAATGCTTAATTTTCTCATTGGCTATTTCTTATCATTGCTCTCACTACTTAATCATCATACCCAGGCCATCACATTTCTCACACTACAAGATTTCCTTCTGATATTTTTTTCTTAAAACATGCTTGTTGTGAATGCATGCTTGAGTGTGTTGAAACACATCTCTGAACTTCTCTCTTATAATGAGGGATAGTGATGGCACTGTAATCCAGTTTGGATCCAATTGCCTTTGTTTAAAAAATAAATACAAATAAATTCGTGTCTGACAAAATTGGGAACTCTCCTATTTTAATGTCCTAAATATGATTAAACTATGGTAATGTTTGCTGTCTTGAGCTGAGATGTTTTTTTATTCAACTGGCAGGATCTCCAAACCTCAGACAGAAACCTCCTCCTCGAAGAGATACAAATCTGGTAAGTTAAGTGGACCAAAAAGCATTTATGATCAATATAATTTATAGAGAGCAGCATTTATTTAGACAGTAGTAATGTCTTTTTCTCCAAAACTCAAGGCATTTCAGTTGCCCAAACCTCCAGAGGCCCCTACTGTGGAAGCGGAGTACTACACCATAGCAGAGTTTCAATCCAGTATCTCAGATGGCATCAGTTTCCGTGGAGGACAAAAGGCTGATGTACGGCTGATATATTCTAATATATCTGATATATTTTATTTTTCAAAAACAAAAATATCGTTTGACTAATGAAAATATTAAAATATATTAAATAATTAATATATACAGTGGGGTTCAAAGGACTTTTACCACATTAAACAATGGGATTTATTTGTTTAAAAATGTTCAAAGTTTGGATCGCACTGTATGATAAATATATGCCATTGTATAATGTAAACATGTCATATGTGGTCTTCAGGTCATAGAGAAGAACTCTGGTGGTTGGTGGTATGTCCAGATCGGGGAAATGGAAGGCTGGGCACCCTGCTCCTACATTGATAAACGCAAGAAGCCCAACCTAAGCAGGCGAACCAGTACACTCACCCGCCCCAAAGTTCCACCCCCTGCTCCACCAGTCAAAAAACAGGATTCTGAGGAATCACCTTCTCTGGGTGGCTCTGCCTCCAAAGCTCCAGAATCCCCCACTCAGCGTGTCTATGAGGAGCCGGAATATGACGTTCCTGCAATTGGTTTTGAATCCGATCTGGACAGTAACCCTCCGAAACAGAAAACAAATAATTCCCCCAAACCAGAGCCCCGTAAGTTTGAAATTAAAAGCAATCCAGCAGCTGCCGAAAGGATCGCACAGGCTGGCAAAGCGTCACCTTTACTAAAAGTGATGACCTCCCCCTTGAGGAAAAGAAACTCATTAGAGGATGTCAATAGGGAGGAAGTGATCTATGAAAATGAAGGGTTTAGGTTTTCCTCTGATGACTTTGCCAGTGGTTGTGATTCGGATACACCAAGGAGTCTCACATTGGGTCGCAAACCTTTCGGGTCCTCTTCTGGAGGAGGGAAGCCCCTACGGAAAGTAACGCCGGATCTAAGCCGGAGCCACTCTCTTGGTCGTGCTGAGAGACACAGCCCCAAGTCATCATCAGACGAATCAGGACGCAATCCCAAAAGAGAGCCTGTTATGCGTAAAGATGTGGAGATCCGAATTGGTCAGAGTCCTTTAGCCAGGCATAAACCAGTAGTGCGACCTAAACCTTTGCTTACAAAGTCGGAGCCACAAAGTCCAGAAAGAATGGACATCAAAAGCCTACGTCGCCAGCTTCGGCCCACGGGAAGTCTTCGGCAAGGAGCGGTCCGTGCAGTGCGCGGTGAAGATTCTGAGACGGCTTCCATTGTGTCCTCAGAGGATTCCATCTCCTCAAGAAGTACCTCCGATCTCTCCAGCGTCTATTCCAAAGGTAGCCGAGGTGGGGAATCCGACCATGAAAGTTCGATCTACAGGACCACAGATGCCTACGAACGAGCCCAAGAGACAGAGGTTAGCTTCCCAGCCGGTGTGGATGTTGAGGTGCTGGAGAAGCAGGAAAGTGGATGGTGGTATGTCCGTTGGGGCAATGATGAGGGTTGGGCACCTACTTTCTACTTGGAGCCAGTCAAGCACACCCATAACGTTGGAGTTCAAGAATCCCGTGATGGGCCTCTTGTGGATCTCGGTAGCACCAACAAGTCCAACAGCCTCGAGAAAAACGAGCAGCGGGTTCAGGCCCTTAACAACCTCAACCAGCAGAACCTGAGGAGTATGAGCAACCCTAGCCCACCAATCCCATCCAAACCACCAGGGGGATTTAGCAAACCAACCGCAATGCTGAACGGTTCAGGCGTACGGATGCGGAACGGTGTCCGTCAGGCAGCAGTGCGACCACAGTCAGTGTTTGTGTCTCCCCCACAGCCTCTGAAGGACACCAACATCCATACAGGGTCTTTGAGGAGAAATGAATCACTGGGTGCTGGCGACCACTTGAGGTCCACAGGAGTAAGGCGAAACTCCTCCTTTTCTGCCGTTCGACCGCAGCCAGCGACCGATGTGCGGGTGAGGGCTGGGACCACCATTACAGCTCCCGTCGGAAGTTCAAGCCCCTTGATTTCCCAGAGAAATGGAATTCCAATCTCTACAGTAAGACCCAAGCCCATCGAGAAGACACACCTCATTCACAACAACCTTCGAGAGGTTTACGTATCTATAGCTGATTACCGTGGCGATGAAGAGACCATGGGTTTCTCGGAGGGCACTAGTCTTGAAGTTTTGGAGAAGAATCCAAATGGATGGTGGTACTGCCAGGTTCTCGATGGCTTACAGGGACGTAAAGGCTGGGTACCGTCTAACTACCTGGAGAGAAAAAAGTAATTCCCCCAAAATGTTTTAAACATGCACAATTGTAATCAAAATGTAAAAAGACGAACTGACTGAAGGACTTTTGGTTTGAAACGAGAGGGACAGAGCCTTTTAGAAAGGAGTTTACATTAAAACTAGAGTAATGCAGGTGAATGTTTAGCAAAATACCTGCCGAAACTTTATGCCAAATGGGTGCCTTCTTACATCTTTCACTGAATGTTAAGAGGAATTGGTCAAATACCAGTGAAGCAACGAAAATACCAAACTTCAACTTAGTGCCATAGGCCTACAAGTACTGAAAGCAACAAACTTATTTTTGTTACAACGTTGAAAAGAGAGAAAGATAATTTCAGCATAGATGCATAACAAAATGTGCAAATTCAATCTTAAGCACTCAAAAACAAGAAATTTCGTTAAAAATGTTTTGAATCAAAATTTTATCAAAACATTGAGTGCATTCAAAAAAAAAAAAAAAAAAGCATAACTTTGATTGTCGTTTTTTTTCAAAACGTATCATTTTTTAGAAATTGTTTTGTGTTGATGTTTTTATATCTTCCTTAGAGATGTATTTCTGCTTTCTTGTAACATCCTAACCCATCAGAACATTCACTGACTTGTCCTGATCAGTTGTCGCAAATAATGACGGATCAATCTCTTTTGTCTTCCCCATTCTACAAATATTCGCAGGCCAAAATGAATAAAACGTGTTCAAGGAAAACAGTCTGTGAAAGCTATATGCATAGATCACCTCATGCCCGCCTCTTTATTGGGTTTAAACCCAAGTTTAGTTTACAAAGGTCATCTGGTCATGTTAGGAAGGGTAGACAGCTTCAAAGGAGAGGACTTTAGATATCGCTGCTCTGTGTGTGCTAAGTCATGAAATTAGGACTGGAAATCTTATGTTTTGCTCAGCATTTTATCCCAGGGAAGTAGTAACATAACATTGAGCCGAAAATGTAATCACACCAAAGAAGAATTACAGACACATTTTGTTTTAGAGTTAGTATTTATTTGTATGGGTACAAATACAGTGTATTCGACAAAACCTAAACCAGGTTTCAGAACAGAGAACAAAGTATATTTAATTGTTATATCTGGGAGCACTTGATTTTTTTAACCCAAAGAAAAGCACATTAATATGCAAGGTTAATTTGTACGTTATGATATTGCTGGGCAGTATTGAATCTGAAGTTACACAATAAGCAGTTTAAACTTCTATAATTTAAGAATAGCGCTTCATTTTCCGTCGACAGATATCCAAAAAATGATCTTAGTCCATACATAGTCCAATCTTTTTCTTCTTTTTTTAGACGTCTGAGCTCAGAATGATTACTTCTCCCTGATTCAGTCATATAATACTCATTGCAGCATCAAACAGCTGATGTTCAAGACTGCTGAAATATTTTTCTAATGAATAGTGTGAGCTCTTAATTGGGTTTCGCACTACTTTGATTTATTTTTTCTGCTGGACAGTATTTTAGTGTTAAACAGTTAAAACATTAATTACCTGCTAGATTGCAGTTATATTCTATTAAGCAGAAAGTTGTTTATTTTGTCTTGTTTGTTTGTTTGTTGGTTGTTGTGTGATCACACATGGGCAATAATGATGAATGAAGTCGTTCATTTGTTGTGAATCAATGCATTTGAATTTTTTCTTGAATGCATTGGTTAAAAGATGCAGTGTACTTCATCACCATATAATTTATTTAACAACATTTTTGTTGTATTTATTATTTTAATAAAAAAAAAGATTTTTTTATTGTCATTTGACACATGTGACACTTGATAATCTTGGTAGTTCTGTAGTAATTGGCTAACTGCTATATTTTGAGCTTTTTTTCCTACCAAGATGATTTTTTGTTATGGACTTTATTACTCGTACTCTTAAAAAATGCGATTTTTTTTTTTAACTCATGGGACCATTTCCTCCATGTTTTTCCTCATTATTTATCAACCAAGCTGAAAGCTGCACCTTTAGCAACTATGGACACTTCCTTTCTCGTTATTGAGCCACATAATGCCAGATTATTTAAGCAAAAAATCATTTGTTTTTTTTATTTTAATATCTTACCACTTAAAAAAAAAAAAAAAAAAAAAACGACCTTACAAAAAATCTAAATGATAATCAATCAATCCTCCTAATTAAAAGCCAGCATAAAATGGGAATGATCAAATATCAACTGTCATATATTTTATAATTAAAAACAGCAGGGCTCTATAGTTATATAGTATATCTGGATCCCAAATTGTGACTGGACCAAATTTGATTTGAGTGTTTCTTTTAAATGTTATCTTAAAAATAAAACAGCAATAATGGAATTTGAAAGTTCTAATTCGGGGGATTTTTTTAATTTAACATGAAAATGAAGCCATTGCACTCGCAATTGCAACTCTCCTTTGACGATGGCATTATATAAATGTGTCGACTCACTACAGCGCAGCAGCTTGTGATGGATGTTGCTAAGCTCCATTAACACTATGCTTTTTCTTCATTTGCGCCTATAGAATTTACAAGGGAACCGTTAAGTGTCAAACTAGTTCTTATCTCATATTACTTGTGTATCTGCTAGCTTTGTTTCGTGTTCTTTATTTATTTAAATTTTCAATGCGTTTTTCAGGAGCAATGTTGTGTTTTGCTATTTTTTCTTCTTCTTTCTCCTGTTCACTTTTGACATTACTCAGATGGAATGAGGAAATGTGCAATACAAAAACAGGCATCTCATTAGTTAAGAACCATAGTATTTGGAAAAAAAAATTAGTTTTTACTTTTCATGACAATTTTATGTCACCTAATGCCTGGTTTTGTCCCATAGTGTTTAAAAAAAAAAAATCCTCCGAGTCAAAAAAGTGCCGGAGCGTGCCGCTCAATATGTGTTCAAATATCCCCTAATAGATTGACACCTTCAGTCAACCGGCCAACCATGACTTGATTTCTGCATTCACACTCTTTACCCACTGAACCATCTTGCTTTAAGGGGTTTAGTGACCTCTCAGACCCATGGTGAATCAGTATGGAAATAATAGGGAAGCATGGGCATATCTTATTCTCAGAGGCATTTGTCAGTTCAGCCTGTCGAATCACAAATCTGAGATGGTGGGGCAAAACCATCAGCAGCCATATGAGCGTCGCACCACACACTGCCAACTGCTCGACATGTCTCTTTGACATCCGCCCCTACATTGCACCATTACCATGGCAAACCCGACTTCTCTATCCTAAATCCCCCGACAGCAAGGACTAGCATTGTCTGTTTCCTTTTTAAATTTTGCTTAGCCTACTAACAAGTTCATTTTTATTGCTTATATTTGCTTCTCTTTCTGTCTGAATTCATGAATATCCAAACTTTTACGCATTGGAACGCATGTACTGAGAGTTGTAACAAATTTCGCTTTAGTTAAAAATGAGGAGAGTTATAGAAGACTGTCTTGGAGTTTCTGGTCAAGAGAAAAAGAGAATTTTATGAGAGTTGAAATGTCTTTACATTTTTCTATTGAAACAGGCCCTCTCAGAAAGAGGCTTGCTATGGGTTTTGCTTAATGTTGTGTTTTCTGTTTTCCTTTTGTACGATCACATTAAGATATTAACGTTTTTCCGTTTTCATGGTTAACAGTTTATACGGGAGGATATATGGCATATATTTACAGGAATGTTCCAGGTTCTGCGACATGCTGTCGAAAATAATTTCGTAAAAACAGACGAAACATCTCATGAAAAAAACGTAACTATTTTATGAGGTGGCGATTTGATATGAATTTGGACGATGTTGTTTGCGCAAAAATGTAAAGATCAAAGTATAGCTTCGCCTTCCACGTTCCGCGCGACGTAATTATCGTTATCAGGAGGGTCCGCGTGCCGCCCAATTTTTGTGACCGCGTGGACTTGAGCAAAGTCCAACAAAGTTCGTCCAACAAAGTCCACTAGATAGTGTGTACGTGCCGAATGTGTCTTTCCGCACTCGCACACAAAGGAGTACACTTTGAAAGGCTTGCGCGCTTTAACTGTGTCGAAGCAGAACATGGAAAATTAAGTACAGCCGGGCCATACATTTTTTTAGAAATGTATGAAGGTCCACCGTCATGAATTTGTACTTTTCGAAGGTCCATGAATTTGTACAATGTGATTCATATGGAAACTTACGATATTTAGAAAAAGCGTGATGGTCCACTTCTAAACCTAACCATCATTGGGGCGTAAGAACCAGTACGAATGAGATAGTTCAAATAGTTACGAATTGCAATGAGAGTGTGTTGGTTAGCACACAAATACCTATACAATACTTTGTATTGAACCTGGAACATCCCATATGCTCCTGAATCGGAAGAGACAATTGTTACTTTAAGATAAGATATAGTTGGTGTATTTTTGTGTGTTTGTGTGGTGTATTCTGTGATGGTTTGTGTAAAGAAGTTTTTAAATGGTGGAAAGAGAAGGTGAATAGAGAGAATGTTTGTTTATGATGTTTGGTTAAAAGGGAATCCAGTCAGGTAAGGTTAGGCGTGATTAAACAGCTCTAATGGATTTGAAGAAGTGTTCGCCGTGGAAAGAAAAGCAAGGCTTTTTACGATAATTAGCACTTCAGAGCGCTTGCAGCAGCTCATTATGGTGTCACAGTGGAACTGCGTTGTCATAATAGCTATAGTGAGGCACTGTGTTCTAGAAACACACTAGTTATTTCTGTTGGAAAACTGACTGCTGCTTAATTCAAGTGAGCAGCCTTGTCTTTGAGGCCATTGTTTTCTCAAAACATAACTTGGAGTACACATGCTGAGGTTCAGAAACTCGCGAATGTATATCCACACACCAGCTTGCTGCTGCTGCAAACCTCTTTATAACAATTAAAAAGTTGCTGACAGAATGTTGCTGTAAAAGAATAGGGCTCCTTGTCTCCAGGAGGAGCAGGCTTACATGCGCGCTGTGAAATCATATTACCCGAGTGCTCGGTTAATTACAGATGCTTGGGAAGAGCGCCGTGAATACAAATGTCACACTGATTGTGGATGTCGAGCTGCCAGGGGGGTTGGATCAGATGGCGAGATAGATTGATCGTGTCTCTAATGGTTCACAGCATGTCGAGATGTATTAACATCATCAAGAGGAATCATTTGAGCTTCCCGTGTCAGCGAATGACTGGATTTACTGAGGCGTCCACGTGTTATGTTGGTGTAAAACAAAAAGATGTAAGAATGTACATGATCGATTGTGTCAGGGTGTTATTTACAGGGTATTACAATTGTGAGAAAAAGTCATGGATGGGTTTCTATTTTTGTAGCTCAAAATTATTTAATTGGCAATAATTACAGCAAATGATTCATTGATTTGGTAATTGCGAATGGAAATTCATTGGTTAAAATGGGTGGGAAGTACCTGCAATTAGTTAAATATTTCAGTATTAACAATAATCCAACTAACATTACATGATGTGACCTTA